CATAATCTTCCCAGCCAGAACAGTCACATCTATCCGACATCTATCAGACGTCTAAAGCTAACATCTATCTACCGTTTACGTCTAATCTAGATTAAGGTCGATATCGACCTAAAAACGGCCCATGTTTAGATGTCTAATCGACCTTAGATTTCGATGTCTTACCCACATGTTATCAATGTTAACTTAAAAGTTTTAAAATTAAAGTTAAATTAAAGTTTTAAATTAAAAGTTTAAAAGTTAAAAGTTTTCAGAATTTTTATTTGTCCTATGAAACAAACTTTACGAGTAATTGAATTTATCAAAAATGTTTTCTATTTTGTATTACATTGTATTTACTGTAATTGCAATGTAAACAATTTAAGAGATAGTTTGCAGAATGCAAGAGATAATAAAAATACCTATTTTTAAATAAGCATAACATGGTTATTTTATTGATCTCCTGTGACACAAATGTACAGAATAAAGACGCAAAAATGAAAATATATATAAAATATATTTAAAAAAATATATAATATGTATATACATTGATAATGTATATATGTATACAATAACTGTTTTCTTAGTGATTTATCAGGCTATTATTAAATGCAGATAATCGTATTTTTAAATAAAGTTTCGATATAAAAGAACACATTTTTCGAACAATTAAATATATGTTTATGAAAATTAATTTCTTTAATTTTACCACTGCATAAATCAACAAAACCAATTAAAACTGAAAATTTGTTGTTTCTTTAATTTTATTTTCTTAATTTCTTCGTTATGCAAAAAAATAAACAAAGGGACCTATACTTTTAACATTGTATACTAAAGTGTTAATTATAAAATACAACAAAACGGTAATATTTTTCAATTCAAATTATGATTCCATTGTACCAGGCCTTTTGCCTAATGACTATCAGAGCCATTACACTCCTCTTGTTTCCTACCACTGGCATTTCGTAACCATGACTTTATAGTTTTAAGTGCAACATCAAGGTCGCTGTCTGGAAATTTGATTAACAAAGCCCCTGTAAAACAACAAACAAAGAAATCTTGAAGAATATGAACATTCATATTAAGTTAAACAGAAAGAAAATGAAATATAAAATATATTTACAACAAGGATATAAGCACAGTATATTTAAAGAAAATAATTATAATGCATATCACAATTATAGGATTATTATTTCAAAGTTTGTTGATATAAAGTTATACTCCAAATTTGTAAAGGATGATAGAAAAGACAATATTAATTAAAAATCAAACCAACAAGACATTAGAATTTTACCTTCAATAACTGTCCACAGGTTAAGTGTTTTGAAGCCTATTTTATCACCATGGCCATCAAAATTATAATTTTTTGCCAGGGAATTATACATTACTTTTTGCATAATTATGGTTGTAGCTTTCTTTTCATCACTGGTAGATCCAAAAGAGGTGAGATAATCACACTACAAAAAACAATATACACTAGTCAAAAGATACGATAAAAGTATGCATTTTCTAATCAAATAAAACTGGAATTCATTTTAATCCATCAAGTAATGAAACTTTTAAAATGATTAAATATTACAGGAGAAGAGAAAAGCAAAATAAAATAAAAACAAATTAAATAAAATGTAACATAAAAGGAAAGTGAAATAATAAATTCAATAACAAAAACAAATTTTTGACACAAATATATTTAGAATACTAATGATGGAAATACAAATAGCAAATACAACAGAAAAAAGAAACATTAAATCAGAATCCTAACAAAAAACAGCGTGTTTGTCAAACGTTACCACAACATGTAATGAAAATTTTACATTAAAATTGTTTAAGTCAAAATAATGATGATATAACAAATAAATATTCGTACC